CCTAATAATATAACAAGGGTTTGGTTTAAATTTTGAAAATGACATCTGGAAAAGAAAAGAAAAAAACATTTGTGATACAGAAGTGACTGCTGTGCAGCCACATTACAATCCATCTGCTTGGATTTCAGAAGCCACTTTTTCTGTGTGGTTTCTCTGAATAAACTTTGAGGTATCCTTTTGCAGAGCTTAAATAGTTGCAGGCTTATAATGGGGATGTAGATATATATTCAGGGGAAACATAATAAGCAGCCATTAATGTTTCAGTTTTAAAGTAAATGCAACATTGGAGAACCTACACCATAGAACTGTGAAGAATACGTTTTCCTTTTCTATTAAACTGTATTGTTAGTGTTTGTCAAAAAGGGAGAAGAGCTTTGAATAACATATCACTTGAAAGTTTCAACAGTAACTGTCTTTTTGTTACCAAAGAGTGCACTACAATTACTTTTACTTTTTAGGAATAGCCAGCATTTCCTCATTCTGGGGAAATAACATTGCTCATTTAGAAGACTTTAACGTTTATTAAGAATTTATCATTGATTTTAAAACAACAACAACATTTTCTTCCTTGTAAAGAAAACTACAGACAAAATAACTGCAGTTTTGCTCACAGTTTTGTAAAGAAGCTTTTAATTTTTGAAAAGGAATTTTGCATAAGTTGATAGTCTGTAAGGTTTTTATAATATTTGTACATAATGGAAGTTCTTAAGGTAATTCTTGTTTTCTCAGAGTTTGGAATTTCTACATTTTTAGATGTTAAGAGAAATCCTGTATGTAGATAATTTATTTTGATGAAAAACACTTGACTCCTTTTTTGCCCTCCATCTCTATATTGTTAATACTGTATATTTCAGGGGTCTTCATTCAACTGAAGAGGAAGATGGAGACAATGCTGTGATTCTGCTTTAATAAACAAGGCTGCCATTTGTCATCTTGCGACTCGAGTTAATGACCATTCTGTTTCCATACAACATCTTCTTAAACGAATATTAGCAAAAGATCATATTGGGAAATCCAGATGCTATCATTAAAATGTATTTATTAAATGGTGCTTATCTCTTATATGTTTGATTTTCCTCCGAAGAATGATAACCCACATAATTGGAAAGATCCAAAAGAAAAAAGGAGAATATTCCATGTTCCCTCCTGGACTACTGCAATGCTCTCTACATGGGGCTCCCCTTGAGGAGCACCCGGAGGCTCCAATTGGTGCAGAATGCGGCCACCCGGGGAATTATGGGAGCAAGAGGGCGCTCCCATGTGATGCCTCTCCTGCGCGAGCTGCATTGGCTTCCAGTGATCTTCCGGGTGCGCTTCAAGGTATTGGTCACCACCTTTAAAGCGCTCCATGGCATCGGACCTGGGATTTGCGAGACCGCCTTCTGCCGCCGATAGCCTCCCACCGACCAGTACGCTCCCACAGAGAGGGACTCCTCAGGGTGCTGTCAGCCAGGCAATGTCGGCTGGCGACCCCCAGGGGGAGGGCCTTCTCTGTGGCAGCACCTGCCCTCTGGAATGATTTGCCCCCAGAGATACGAAGGATACCAGATCTCCGGGCCTTTCGCCGTGCCCTAAAAACTTTTCCATCAAGCAGGGCTGGCGTGAACCCCCCCCTTTTTTAGCTCTTTTTAGTTTTTTAGCTTTTTAAGTGTAAATTGGGTTTTAATTGGATTGTTTTAAATTGTGGGCCAAAACTGTATAATTCTTTTAATTGATTTTAAATTCTGTATTGGCATGTTTTTTATCCTTGGCTGTGCATTGCCCTGAGTCCAATAGGAGAAGGGCGCTATATAAAATGAAATAATAATAATAATAATAATAATAATAATAATAATAATAATAATAATGTATTTTACTTTTTTTATGGGGAGAGTAGCTTTGACATTTGCAGTAATGCCCATCATTCCCGAAAACACAGTGGTTGCTGTGAGGGTACATCAGCATGGTATGTTTTTTTTAAAAAAAACCCACTGCATTTTAGTTCCAAAATTTCAGATAAATTAACCACATTGAAATTATGTATCCATCTTGCTCTGCCTATCTTGGCTGAGAACTCTATTGCTATTTCAATCAGAATAGAGCTGGAAGCGACCTTTGAGGTCTACTCCAACCCCTTGCTCAAGCAGGAGACCCTATACCATTTCAGAGAAGTGACTGTCCAGCCTCTTCTTAAAAACCTCCAGTGATTAATGTCTATGGAGATTCTCAGTCATCCAGGTCATGATTGTCCCAAAGGTGCTTTTTCAGCAGGCAACAAGAAAGTCCAGTTGCCTCCTGAAAAAGCATCTGTGGGACTCATCCAAGAAGCTTCTTCAGCTCGCTTCAGGGCTGAAGAAGCTTCTTGCATGAGAAGTAAAATCTCTTCAAAGAAAAACCAGAGAACTCCAGTTGCCTCTTGAAACAGCACCTTTGGGACTCCAGCACCCACAACTTCTGATGGTAAGCTGTTCCACTGATTAATTGTTCTGTTACAAAGTTTCTCCTTAATTCCAGGTTGCTTTCTCCTCAATTAGTTTCTATCTATTGTTTCTTGTCTTGCCCTCTGGTGGTTTGGAAAATAAGTTGACCCCGTCCTCTTTGTGGCAACCTCCCAAATACTGGAATACTATCATGTCCCCCTTAGTCCTTCTTATCTCTAGAGTAGCCAAACCCAAATCCTGCAACCGTTATTCATGTTTTTGTCTCAAAGGAAATATTTAATCATCTTAATTGCTCTTCTTTGCACTTTTTCCAAAGTCTCAACATCTTTTTTGTAATGTGGTGATGACCAAAATTGGATGTAGTAGTATTCCAGGTGTGGCCTTACTAAGGCTTTACAAAATAGTACTAACATTCCATGTGATTTTGATTCTACACACCTGTTTATACAACCAAGGATTGTATTAGCTTTTTGGGTTGCTGTCGCACACTGCTGCCTTATATTTAAGTGATCGTCCACTAGGACTCCAAGGTCCCACAGAGTTAATGTTTTTGAGCCAGGTTTCGCCTAATATTGTGTTCAAACTCAGCAATGTGTACTCAACTCTTAGAATGTTTAGAAATGTTTTAAACATTTGTACCTGTGAGCATATGAAAAATCTAGCTACAGTACTTGTTCTCAAACCAGGGAGTTTGAAGCAAGCAGCAAAGAGGGAGAAAGCAGATATTGAAGTAAGCAGAAAGAATGTAGCAGCTGTGAAATGCACTTACCTTTGCTACCGGATCGGAAATGTGAACACACACACACACTCACTACGCTCCTGCCTCTTCTGTGCATGCGCAGAGGGTAAAAAATGGGACATAATGATGTTCTGGCAGGTGGGCAGAGCCTCCCGCCACTGGCCCTACCAGCTCACACGAGCTGGATAGATCTGGCAGGATTTCACCGCTGGTATGTAGGGCATAGGAGTATACCCCATCATGCTTCATTCATTCATATCAAAGGGATGAGTTTCCAATAAACAACATTAAAATCTACCAGTTGTGTAGATTCTATGTCATGCTACCAATAATAGGAAAATATAATCCAAGACAAGGCTCACAGGCTTAGAAATTATTGTTCTTAAACCCAGCCTATGACAATGACAGTTCTTTATGTTTAACACACAATACAGGTAGGACCAGAGGATTTGGCTGTTGAGCAGGTTTAGCAAACTTTGTGTGCATGTGTGTGTTCGCATCCATGTGTATGTGGGTGTGTAAGCACACAAACACACCTATGAATGAAGTGAGGTTCTTGGTCTCAACAGAATAAGCAAAGATAATAAAAACAAATATTTCTCAATTCTAAGTATAAGTATGTATTGAAAAGACTCAATTGTTCTTGAATATAAGTATGTGCAAAATGTTATTACAGAAACAGAACATTCCAGGAAATTCCAGAACGTTCTCTTTTTCCTCCAAACCATGGAGGAATTGTCCTTAGGGCAATTTTCTACAAACTGACTTTTCAATTCTTATAAACCTCTTAATATGCTGGTAGATTTACTTCAGGAATACTGCTGGATTCCCTTAGAATATTTGGATCAGCTTGGTGTGGGGAAAACTAACATTGTGGAATTCTGTGGAATTCAGAACATTTTTAATATACTTACTTGCACGTATATCAGCCATATACAGACATGTTTATTTTCATTAATTGTTTTCCTTGTGCTTCAACCAATGTATTTGTACAATACCTATTAAACCAATAAGTTTTGACAAAATAGCATACTCGCCAAATAAGGATTTGTTCCCAAAAGCAAATATAATTAATTTGAAAACGTTATATATGTTTTTAATAAAGTTACAACTACAGTATTTGATTTTAAATACTGTGGGCTTGAGTATATATTAGTAAACCGTTTAATTGCTTATAAACAATGTCTAATTTTAGACTTGCCTCTTCTGTTTAGTACTAAAAGCACTTTTAATGTTTGGTATGATCAGGCCAACTGTAAGAAGGCATGAAATTTTAAAAGTGAGAGTTTTTACGCCTTGCTACAGTTTAGAGATTAATATGTACAAAGAAATATTTCCTTTTTCTATTAATTATGGCACAAAATATGTATATTTTGTATCTTTCAGTTTGCTATTCCCTGTTATACAGATAGTTCTTAACTTATGACTGTAATTGAGCCCAGACTTATGGTAGTAAATCATGCCAGTTGTTAAATGGTTCACTATGTGACCATCTCCAATGTTACAACTGTTTTGCAGTGGTCATTAAGTTATTCACCATTACCATTAAGCTAACACCATGGTCCTTAAGAGAAACCATTATTCACAATGGGCATTTTTTGCTGGAAACCCAAAGTAAACTCTGAGGCATAATTTGTGGTCACGTGACTGTGGGATGCTGCAAATGGCCGTAAAGGTAGGTTGGTTGCTAAGCACCCAAAATACAACCATATGATGGAAGTAGCCATTGGAACTTAAAGTCTGAGTTGTAAGTAGCCCTGGGGAGTATAACTTCAAAGAGTCACTAAGGTACTGGTTTTAAGTTGACTATCTATATACACAAACAAGAGGAAGAAACAGTATACAATACAATTTCATTTAGAAGCAACAATACAGTTAGTAGTTTTCCACATCAATTATACTGAATAAAATACAGGATAACTGGGAGATCTGTGATAAGTATTTTAGCTGAAGTACCAGGATTGAATTTACATTAATCCTTTTTTTTTTTTTTTAAAGATCTATAGCCCCTTACAAACTTTCAGGAATAAAAATAACACAGCTTATAATGCAGTAAAAGTGGGAACCATACATTAATAATGCATTAATGTAGGAGTTTGGAAGGCCCATTGTTATCTGGCCAAGTTATGCTACTTTTCATTATAGCAACATGGATTGGCAATATTTCAGGTTTCCATGGTAGAAAAACTCACTGTGTGCTATTTGGAAGACAATAGCATTGAACTCTAGTGAGTTGGTTTGCTAAATTCCCTCCACTATAGCTTTCAAGGGTTCACAAATATTTTCACCCAAAAGTAAAGCACAAACTAATGTCAGTTGAATCTAAGCATAATCAACTCTTTCAGGCATGAATGTTTTTAAATATTTATAGCATGTGAATGATAATTTACATACATTGTGGCATCTAAGTGTAACCATCAACTGGAACCTGGTTTTCCAATTAAGGATATCCCTCCTTTAAGGACAAGTAGTCTTCATTCAGCGACTGCCTCAAACAGTGACCTTTTGCAGTTATAACTGTTGGAAATGTAATTGCGACTAGTGCCTGCATTTATGACCTTTGCAGCGTCTCTATCAAGTCATGTGTTTGTCACAACGGTCAGTCAGCACTATACTGCTTTGTCCTTTGGCTGACTTGTTTTTTCCCCCTTCCTTGCCCCATTGCAGATTGCTTAAATAAGCTATATTTCCTGAACTGCTTTTGTTCACACACAGAACTTCCCTCAAAGTTCTAACTACAAGTAAACAAGGTCAGCTCTGTGACCTTAATAATTCGATTAGAACAGTCCGGCCCACTACCCTTGCTATCTGAAACTGACAAGATCCTAATCAGTTTCACATTGAAGACTTTTCTTTGCCTCCTAAGCAGTTGCAAACACAACAGCCAACCTACTGCATTCCTTTCAATGTCTGTTTGCCTATTGTGTGCCTGCTTAGTCTTCTCTAATGAATGTAAATATAAATTATATTCTAGTTAATTATACTAGCAGTGGGATGAGTATTAAAAAAGGTGAGGGGGGGAAGGAAAGTTGAAATAAAATCATAAGCAGTTACATGATTTTCACATAGCAACCACTTCACTTAATAACTGAGTTGCTGGAATCAATTGCTAAACAAGAACTACCTATATATTCAATAATTATTCAGAAGAAGGATTGGCAAAGTTCAAAGAATTAAGATCCACAATCAATATTTTGAGGAGATGAAAGGGAATGGGAGGCCTCTTTGAAGCAAGCTGCTCTCAACCTCACTCTAAAACTGTCCCCTAAACAGGCCACAAGTGCCTCCCAAATTCAGCAATCCCTGATTTACAGGACACAGGAAGTGTTTAAAAATCCTCAGACCAGCATTTGATTTAAAAGGAAGCTGGGGATTGGCGTTAACATTCTTACCTTTTAGGTAACATTTCCAAAAGGGCTAAAGGGAAGCAGATAGGATCTCCTGGCCCAGTAACCTCTTTCTTGGCCAGTTCAAAAGTTTTGCCTTTTAATTCCCCCCCCCCCAAGAGAAAAAAGGTAATGCAAGAGAGACATAATTTCTGCCCCTTTTCCTTTCGCTGTGGAAGTGGGAAATTTGAGATGGCTTTTGATTTAATTAGTGCCTCAAGACTATCAGAAGTCATTATGCTTGATTTTACAGCAAAGATTAGCAGCAAAATAATGCAATTTAGCAGTTTGCCTCCTAATGAAGAAAAACAAAACTCTAGAAACCACTGTGAGATTCATGGAGATTCTAGGTTGCTTTACCTGCCTTTCAAATTTCCTTCCTACCCAGATTAAGCCTCCAATTTAGTGAAAAAGGCTTAAGCATTACTGTTTTTGTAGAAAGTTGAGTTAATTTCCTACAAAATAGAATTCATCACACTTTCAAGGATTATAAATATTATAAAATAATTATTAGCATTACTCTATTAGCCATATTTTAGCAAAAAAAAAGATCAATTTTATATCAGTATAGAAATTTAGGCAACGGTAAAAGCGAAGAAATTCATTAGAAAAATATACAAAAACCCAGCTTTCATATATAAGGAAAACTCCTCCCTTTTAAATTAAGCATTTAAAAGTTAATACTTATAATCTGTATTGCTGTACAAAGATTTTAGCTTCTTTTGATAAGCCAAACTTCATTATGCCTGTTTAGCAACTTAAATGGACTGTCATAACCAGCAGTATAGTAGATCTTATCTTGAAATGTTCTTCCATCCCGCTTTAAACATTCAGCAAGGGCCTGTATTTCGTCTTGATTTCTTTTAGCTTTAGCAAATCCTCCAAACGATCTGTTAAGAACAGACATACATATTTTGACAAAGCAGTACCGAGACCAAACATATGAAGTCAAAACTCAAGTTTAGTGTTAATGAAATACTTTCCCCAGAATTTAAGCATTGCTTTATGTTATTCTTAGCCATCTATCATCTGTCCTTTGTTTAATTTGCTCACAAAGGGAATCCATCCATATAAAAGCAGCAAACTAATATTCCCTCGTGATGTTTTCATATGCGCATGGAATGCTGAACAAACATAAATTAGCTCTGAATACAACGAACAATGAGATTCGTGGATTTAAAAAAAATAACATAGGGGCCAATTCCAAACACTGTTTTAAGAGAAAGAAGAAAAGAGAAGGTGCAAATGTAGATTCCTGTAATGGCATATAAAATACCTTTCACCAAAGGTATTTCTTCCATAGAATACTTGTTTTCATCCTCTAATTTCTTTTTAGTATTATTATTATTTGTAGAACTGTTAGATCTTAAGCAAAGTTGCTCAGAAATTGAAAAACTGTATATTTAGTAATTTATAATTACTAAAGTATCTGAGAACGTCTGACTACTTTTGATTTTAGCGGGCTTTTTAAAATCCCAGAATATTTTAAACATATACAACACATTTTATCTACCACAAGGTGGCAGTCAACAATTATTAACAATTTTAAATAGCTTTTAGCTCTGATATACTCCATTACGAAAAAGTAGCTGTTGTATACAAGAGTTATCTTTCACTTTAACAGATTAAACATTAAGATCTCTAGAAGGTGGGGGGGAACCTTTCTCTCACAAATACCAACTGGCTAGTTAGTAATATGCACCAGATTGTAATATGTAGATATTTTAAACAGGGACTGTGTTACCTGTATAGCTTTTTTTTTTTTTTAAAACTATTAAACTTCAAAAACATTGCTATCAACTTGGCCTTTAAATATAAGTGATATACCGAGACCCAGTCTTGTCATGAAGCACTAACCAATGCGTACTAACACTTTTATTCTAAGATTACAATACCTTGCATGTCTGAACATAACATCTCTTTCTACACCCTCCTTGCCTTTACAGTCCAATAAACCAGAGGTCAATATTTACCTGACAAAAACCGTAATTGCTGGCTTAGTTTCGATGAAGACATCTGCTTCTGAAGGCTTGGGTGGATTTGCCTGGTACTGAGATGGCAAATAAAAGGCAACTGTTGTGATGGACTCGGAGAACGGGCCAGCTCCTGGCTGGACATAGCATGTCACTGGAGCTGTCATAGCTATCTTTGTTCCTGCAAAAGGCAGGAAAAGTCATGTCATTAGCCTGACCAAGAAGCAAACTGAACACGCTGCTAAACTTTAAGGATTAAGTCTTTAAATTAGGATGCTAAAATCCTGAAATCTGTCATACATTAAATAATACTATCATCAGCCAGAAACAATGATTAAAATAATTTCATTCTGGGTAAACATACAGCTCAATATTAAACTGCACACAAAATAAATATAATCAAATGACTAAGCTTAAGCCAACTCAGTCAAACACCAAATATACCTACTATGCTTTCTGGGCAGAAATCCAGTTAAATCTACAAATAAGGTAACTTTAGTAATATTTTAAAATGCACCTGACTACTACAGAAGAAAATTGGTTCCAATGCAATTATTAAAACACTTTTTGCAATTTAAAAAAAAAATTTTAGGCAATTTGACCACACAATAATTGGTAAAATGAATGTCCTCAGGATTATTATTTTTCTAATAACTTTTAAGACGTTATCTTTATCCATGTTTTGAAATGTCTATTAAAATATTTGTATGTGCCTTTAGCCAAAAAATAGAGAACAGCTTCCAATAAAAGATTTTAGAGTATGCATGTAAGACATTTAGGAAAGCAACACATTTTGGGAAATGATGAAATATGTCTGTGTGACATGATTTTTCTATGTGAAAAAAAGAGGAACAATTTCAAAAAATAGGATACATAATTGGTGCCCAAATACCCTGTATATTACCTTTTTCATTCTTGCCTTTAATATAGTTAAAGAGCTTCATGAAGCCAGCATTGATGGCTGCATCCCAGTCTATGGTTTTAAGAGATGTACACACCCATTTGGCAGGTTCATATTGTCGAATTTCATAATCGGATGCCTTTAAAAAAAAGTTCAGGTCACAGATCATGACATTGTTACTAAATTATTTGCATATCATAAACTCTGAAGGAATTCACTGAAATACCAATAAAACACAAATTAAACTATGGTTTGTTAAATTACAAATGTTAGTGAGTTAGTTTAGGTTAGGGCAAACCCACATTTAACCATAAAGCTCATTCAGTAACCCAAAGATGCTTTTCAAAAGGCAACTGGACTTTTTGTTTGTTTCTCCTTGCATACATTTTGCTTCTCATCCAAGAAACTTCTTCAGTTCTTCTTGGAACTTCAGCATCTTCTTGTATGAGAAGCGAAACATATTAAAGGAGGAAAAATCCCAAGAAAGTCCAGTTGCCTTTTAAAAAGCACCTTTGGGACAACCATGACCTGGAAGATTTAGACTCTCCATAGACATTCATTCAGTAACTTTAAGTCAGCCATACCTGAATCACCCTGTGTTGTGAGAATAGAAGGGTTGAGCTAGAGCTCATGGGAAGAAAAGTAGAATGTAACATAATAAATAAACAATAAAGAAATAAAGGATAGAATACTTTCAAACAGGAGGCATTGTACTGACAGGATTGTTTAAAACCCATTTTTTCAACTTTATTTAAAAATACTACTGGCATCCTACATCTTATAGCACACCCAGCCCAATTAGGTACAATCAGGGCCGGATTTAGATGAAAAGAGGCCCTAGGCTATTCCACTTATGAGGCCCTTTCACCTATAGTGAAAGTGTAATTTTAATTTTGCTAACAATTTGAATGTAGGCCCCTCTTGATCTTGAGGCCCTAGGCTGAAGCCTAGTTAGCCTATAGGAAAATCCGGCCCTGGGTACAATTGCTGTGCACACCTCAAAAAGTATTTGAAAAAAGTGCTTGACATATGCTCTGAACATATGCACAGTACATCTCTGTAGTCATTAAAGCAGCCCAAGTTTTTCCAGACTTCTGCCCAAAGTTGAAAAGAAGCTACTTCAAGTAATTCTGCACTGGCTCTACATAGAAAAACCTGCTGTTTTTATGAGTCACATGTACTAGTAACTAGGCTCACTCAAAAGTCTTTTCAAACGTGTGAATGACCCTATTGGGAGAATATTCACAGATGTATTTAATGTTGTGATAGTTTAAAAATTAGAAGTAGCCATGAAAGGGTTGTGAAGTGATTCAAGCAAAGAATTAAGGATGAGCTACTTATCTCCCTCTTAGTCATTTCCTCAGTCAAATTTCCACCTATCTGCATTACATGCTTCAAAGGAAAACCACGCTTTTCTTTATGGTAGAAATGTTTAGAAAAAAATATTTTGAGTGCAAAATATTACTAAAGAATTAAGTACTAAAGATAGATAAGATCTATCCTCTTCCATCCCAGTGTCAACTGTCTAGTTTTTATTTCAAAGAAAAAATGGGCTTTACATAGATTTACTCTCTATTTTGGTAGTAATTCCAAGTAACATTCATGAAGTTGAAACACCTTTCAAACATATTTAGGCCATAATTCCCATAATAATGTGATACTAACAAGGCTATCCACGCTGAGATTCTGGGTTTTGGCCTCCATATACCTGACAGGTGTAAGGTATACCCTGACAAATTAGGACAGGCTAATCTCCTGACAGATATCATAAAAGAGTAGTTATAGCCCTTGCTTTATGGCTATTTGTTCAGTTAGAATAGAACTGAATTGAATAACAGAGTTGGAAGGGACTTTGGAGGTCTTCTAGTGACTAGTCCAACCCCCTGCTCAGGCAGGAAACCCTATCCCATTACAGACAAATGGTTGTCCAATCTCTTCTTTAAAACTTTCAGTGTTGGAGCATTCCCAACTTCTGGAGGCAATTTGTTCCACTGATTAATTGCTCTAACTGCAGGAAATTTCTCCTTAGTTCTAGGTTGCTTCTCCCCTTGATTAGTTTCCATCCATTGCTTCTTTTCCTGCGTTCAGGTGTTTAGAGAATGGCTTGATTCTCTCTTCTTTGTGGAAACTCCTGAGATATTGGAACACTGTTATCATGGCACCCCAAGTCCTTCTTTTCATTAAACTATACCAGGGGTATCAAATTGGTAGCCCACAACTGACAGGATGTGTCACATGCAGGCCACACCCATCCCAGCTCGGTGAAGGGGAAAAATGTCACAATATGTCAAGTGACAGCAACATGACGCGGCAAGTTTGACTCCCATGAACTAGTCAGTTGACTGCTCAAATTTATGGAATTGCTAGAAAAAACTGATGTACAGATAGTCCTTGACTTATAACCACAATTGAGACCAGAATCTTGCTTTTTGAGCAAAGTAGTTGTTAATTCACTATTTTTAAATCTTTCAGTGTTAATTTGATTCAAGTTGAATAGGCAAAATTAATTTGACTAATCATAAGTTGATGAAACTAGCCGTTGAATTAAAGCATTGTCCTATTTACGAGACCGCCTTCTGCCACCGATAGCCTCCTACCGACCAATTCACTCCCACAGAGAGGGACTCCTCAGGATGCCGTCGGCCAAATTATGTCGGCTGGCGACACCCAGGGGGAGAGCCTTCTCTGTGGGAGCCTCTGCACTTTGGAATGAACTGCCCCCGGACATACGCAAGATCTCTGACCTACGAGATTTCCTCTGTGCTCTTAAGACCCTGCTCTTCCGACAGGCAGGGCTAGCTTCATAATTGAGTTTTAAATTCGGAGTTCTTAATTTTTTTGGGTTTTTAAGCTAATTTTGGCTTTAAATGTAATACTTTTAAGAATTTTTTAAAATTAAATTGTGATATTTGTATTGTGTTTTACCTGGCTGTACAACGCCCCGAGTCCCTCAGGAGAGGGGCGGTATAGAAATAAAATTATCCTTATCCTTATCTGTAAGAATAACAGACTGCCTTTCAAAGCCAAGAATAGGGCAGAACAAGCACACAATTTGAACACTCAGCACTTTGCTCCTCCTGCTCATGCATCATATGAACAGATCAAGATAGCTGCCCTTTTATTGTCATCTCAACTACAGACTTGGTCTGGCTATGTCTGTTTGTCATTTCAAACAAGGACACGGTCAATCTATCTTTGAAGGAAAGTTTAATTATGTATTACATTTATACACCGCCCATCTCACTAGTGAGGTGACTTACATGAGGACATAGCACAATCAATATGTAAGGACTGCTGTTGCATAAGTCCTCATTCAAAATGGCCGATAAAGAGTTTATTTGGAGTATCCTAGAGTTTCCTATCTAAGGAGACCACCTTGTACTACTTAATTATAGGGCTGCTGCCAAGGAGAATCTAACATGCATTGCATAATGTCAATACATACAAAAGAGAGGTGGGCAACAGTATAGGATGTGGAATATCACAGAAGGGGGAAAGGAGCCAAGAAAATAAAGACAATGATGATTACATAAACAAAGCAATTTTCATGCTGGTGAACAATGGAAGCATGTGAGAGAAGCTCAGGTTGCCTCCTTCCTAATTCTGCCTCCTAACTCGGCTGAGCTCAAAGAGTAGACAAGGACTACGGGCCATATGAAATTAAGTTGGAAATTTACATTGTCCCTTTAATATTATTTTTTCTGGGATAGTCACATCTACAACAGAGTATATGTAGTGATAACTTATGCAAAGTACCAGTGATGCAGATTTTATGGCATGGCTAGACTGAACTAGAGGCAATTGTGCCAGAAAACCTTTTATTGTTTTACTGCGTTTTATTACTATAAAACCTAAGTAAAACATTATATTATTTAGGCATAAAAGTATGTATATGGTATTGACTAGAAATTATTGACATTAATATTTAGATAACTTAAAAATTGAAAAAAAGACATTTATATCAATATTAACTGTGATTATTAAAATGTCAGTCATAAGGTTAACATTTACATCCAAAAGTAAAAGTGGCATTAATAAACTGCAATGTACACAAAATTATTTGTTATACAATAAAGGTTTCCATTTAAGCTTACTATTTAATACTAAGATCTCCACTGCATTATTATTGTTTGTGCATATTAAAGAAAAAAGAAAAACAGACAAAATTACAATAGCAAAAAGTAAAAAAGAAACCCAGCTATTTGGTTTTCAACTTTTCTCTTTTAGTGCCTCCAACAATTTACAGTGTTTATATGCATCTAGGCCCCCTTAGAAGCATGTCAGGAAATTCCTGCCATCTAATGTTCGAAACCACACACTATGGATTTAGCCTCTACAATCTCTTTGGGTTAATTCGGGTTAATTTAATCTGGATCCTTTGTGGTCTGTAAATTTGAGGTGTGGTGGTGCAGTGGTTAGAATGCAGTATTGCAGGCTAATTCTGCTGACTGCCAGCAATTCTGCAGTTTGATTCTCACCAGCTCAAGGTTGACTCAGCCTTCCATCCTTCTGAGGTCGGTAAAATGAGGATTCAGATTATTGGGGGCAATATGCTGACTCTATAAACTGCTTAGAGAGAGCTGTAAAGCACTGTGAAGCGGTATAGAAGTCTAAGTGCTATTGCTATTGCTAAATCTCTCAAGATAACTTGGAGAATCAATCCCATTACTTGTTGAATGAGGCTAAACCAAGGCTGGAAATGAAAACATAAAGTCACCTGATTTGGTAATGCAGTCCATTTAGGCATCTCCAAGCCAGAAGAAAAAAGAGCTTGTTTTATAGTCTTGAACATTCTATATAAACAAAAGGAACAAAGTTATAGCTCTTCTATATTCTGGGTTAAACCTACAAGTTCATAAAGTTCAATCCTTTTGAAAGAGGATCTGCAAAGGATTTTAGCTTGTAGGTTTTTAACAACTACAACATAAAGCAAACATTTTATCTCTTCATCTCTTCAACTTCTTAAATTGACGAGAGGAAGAAAATCTACAGCTAAGAGAACAAGGAAAAGAACTGAGTAACAAAACTGTAAGCAAATATGTTTGCAGAAATCGCTAAGTTGACTTGTTTGATTAAGGAGCAGTTACTTTTATTAAAAATGGAAAGCCTTTATGGTCGCATTTGCTGAAAATGGATAGAATGAATTGGTGATTTTGGAATTTATTGATTAGAAAGGCTTGTTTAAAAAAAAGAAAAACATATATAGTGTGGGAGTGTGGAGATGTAATTAGTGTAACAGCTGCAAAGATGAAAAGTTGCCTCTTTACATTTTTTCTTTTCTTTTTTGTTATCTTTCACTTTATCTTTACATCTTCCTTTTCTACTTTTTCCTTTCTGTAGTTTTTAAGCCTATATAAAAATCTCTAATAGTAAAAATTACTTTTTTTAAAAAAAAGACTGTAAACACAGATATGGCCTGCAAAACAACTTCCTGAGTACAAGTTTGCTCTGAGACACCCTGTTCTTTTAACTGGGTTTGTATAGTTGTCCTCCACAGCACCCTGTTGATCAATTTGGTAGAACTTTCAAGGCTGAAGTAGGTAGAACTGGTAGAATCAATTGGTAGAATCCTCAAGGTTGAAGTCCTTCTCCTATATTCACCATTCCTTAAATTGATAACTCTTGCATTCCTCCCAGAAGCACTTCGGGATTGCACTGCTTCCAAATGTGTGCCTTAATACCATTTATTCTGCATGCCAACGACCAGCAGGGCTCCTTTGGATTTGTTGTGCCTCTCTATCCAAAGAATAAAAGTCCCAATTCAGGAACTGTCACTGCCATTGCATCGCCTGGCATATCCTGCCCGATTCGATTCACTTATTCAGCAAAGGGCTAAAAACCTGAACCCCGTTCAGATTTCGAAGAGTTCAATTGGGGCAGCGCTTTTCCAGGGGGTAAAAAAAAAAAGGCCTATGGGATGGATGTGTAGTTCAAAACATAACTTTTATTTTTTTTTATTTTATTTCGTCAAGCATGCATTTTATGACAGATACAAGTGTAAACATAATTATAAATACGTAAAAAGGATACGAATACAAGAAAACATTGGGACAGGGACGGTAGGCATGTCGGTGCGCTTATGCACGCCCCTTTAAAAACTTATCAACTTAAGTTTTAAAAACTTTAAAAACTTATCAAAACAAAACTTAACCCGGCCTTTCGGCCAAACTCACCTTTCGGTTAGCCTCTTCTCTGGTCCCCCAAGCAGGAACTTTTGCAAAAGGCAACAGGGCTTGGGGAAGGGGGGGGGGCATAATATTTCTAGCCTCGAGAGTCGTGGGGCGGGGCTGCCCAAATCAAGATGGAGAGAATCATTATTCTCCACTCCACTCCTCCCCACGAAACGCGGGGAGGGGGGGGAGCATACGGAGAATTCGGTTTTCTGATTGGTTGCGAATGGGCGGCATAGTCTACACCCATGGGGAGGGTTTTAAGGGAGCCTCGGCCGGCTGTTTTGCCGGAGGGAGAAATAAAGGGGGCGGCGGGGGGGAAAAAGAAAGCTGCTGCTTTTGGTGGCGCTTGGTGTGGGACGTCGCTTGTTGTGGTGTGGCACGGTCTCTCGGGGGGGGAAAGAAGGAGTGAGCTCATGGCCTCCTGTCAGAGGCCCAGAGGGGGAGGAGAGGGGGGAGATGAAAAGGGCTCTTTGAAGCAGAAGGCATTCGTGTTTATCTCGCCCGCTCACTCCCACAGCGCTGCATTTCTCTTCGCTGAGGGCATTGCTTGCCTTTTGGACGGGGCGCTTGCTCCGACGGCGGGGCTGGGCTTTCGCTTCGGCCAAGGGGAAGGGCCGTTTCTGGCGCTCGGAGGTGCGGAGGAAAGTTTGGCACTCGAAGTTTGCGCCCTTTCCGTGCTGGAAGTACAAACTGGATGTTCACTTCGCAATCCCACGCTCTCGTTTTGAATATACGGGGAGGGACGCGCGCTTGGCACTTTGGCACCGCAAAGCCCAAGCAGCAAGCAAGGTTCGCTTGTTAGGGTTTGATGAGGGTCCTCTAATGAAATCTTGCTCAGTGTTTCAAGAGGTTTTTTTTTTTTTTTTTTGTAAGAATGCCAAATTCTTCTTCTTAGAATAGAATAACAGAGTTGGAAGGGACCTTGGAGGTCTTCTAGTCCAACCCCCTGCTTAGGCAGGAAACCCTACCACCACTTCAGACAAGTGGTTGTCCAACATCTTCTTAAAAACTTCCAGTGTTGGAGCATTCGCAACTTCTGGAGGCAAGTTGTTCCACTGATTCATTGTTCGAACTGCCAGGAGAAATTTCTCCTTGGTTCTAAATGGCTTCTCTCCTTGATTAGTTTCTACCCATTGCTTCTTGTGTGATTTGGGGTAAGAACACAGGCAATTCACAAAACTTTCAGGGTAAGAACAGTGAACTTCGGCAAGGTTTCAGAGTAAGAGAGCTAAAATCGGTTGGACGGTTGGATGTGCACCCGAATCATTGTGCAAAATAATGCTCTTGAAAAGGCTGCTCAACTGCAGCTGGTTGGTGTACATTCTTCCATACTTTTCACTTGCACAAAAGCTCATTGTTAGAACCGCCAGGAATAATAATTATGTTGCAACTTTCAATTGCTTCTGCATAAATCAATATAAATATAAGTTTATTACCTGTCCAACTCTGTTCTCCCAAATGTCACAAGAAGTAAGATTAAACTCTCAAGTGAGATTAGCAATACCCTGGTAAGAATGTCCCAAAGGTGCTTTTTCAAGAGGCAACTGGACTTTTTGAAAAGTCCAATTGACTCTTGAAAAAACACCTTTGGGACAACTATGACCGAGAATTTTCATAGACATTCCTGGTAAGAATGCCATTTCTCATGGCAATGATCTAGCCATCCAATTGTATGGGAGAGTTTATATACTCAACCTGTTTGAGAACTACATATAAGATTGATATTGTACAATATTTTAGATATTGTAGCAACAGCACTTAGGAAATACTGTTGACTGCATTAGAATTAAGGATTACCATATCACGAGTTCTCAGGCTTACCTAAATCTCAAATATTCTTACTGTGAACAACAATATATACATATGTATAGACTTTATTTAACACCCAGAGCCTTCTCTATAATTTCCTATGTTCTTCGAACCCCCTCCTGAGCTTGGAAATACTCACCTTTGAGCAAGTTTCTAAATATTAATAGTTTTAATGTATTTTCAAAGTACTTAATTTTAATTTGGTTTTATGGATTTATCTTTATTGTGAATTGCCAAGAGATCTTGGTAGTCACTGATATATAAAGTAGGGATGGGATAGAAAGTAAACTATTATTAGGCTAAGAAAGTAGAGACAGTCTGAAAACTATTGGTTTCCAATATTTATTATGTTGATGCAATAATCTGTCCAACTAGAAAGGCAATGTCAGTCAAGTGACTTGAATATAAAGAGGATTGGTCTGTTTAATTCCAACTTATTTCTTAACAACTTCTACTAAAAATAAATAAGCAATATAGTATTATATTGCTTATATAAGCAATAACAGTATTAGAGAGGTTATACTAATGCAATCATTTAACTAAAAAATGTAGAATGCTAGTTCAGCAAAACAATGTTAATTCATTCCTTAGTGTAGAATGCATTTGTCCTAAAATGTTTATCTGGATGACAACAGGCAATTGCTTTTTGAAATAACTGATTTTTTGAAATAAATATGAATAAAGCATCCACATCAATTACAGTAGCTATTTATTTACTTATTTACTTATTTTATTTGTATGCTGCCCATCTCACCTATAGGCAATTCTAATTTATCAAGAAATTGTTTCTGTTTTTACTAACATGTCTATGTAAAATGTTAGTTATCAGTTAAATAGTAAGTTTGCCCCTATTGATGGATATTACTTAAAGCATTACTTTGCCTGTTGACTTATGAAAACTATGCAACTAAACATTCATATAGAAACATTATCGATCAAAATAGCTGTGATAATTGTTCTCAATTTTCTTTCTTTCTTAGGTTCATATTTAAAACTATGGTGTTGAAATACAGCTACAAATTCAATGTTTATTTCAAAACATTTATATAGACACCATTGTTATATCAAGCTCCCAATCAAGAATTAAAGAATATTATAATAAAACAACTCAAAACTATATTAAGACTGTTAAAACCATAAATATTAAAACAAAACAAAAACCTGGCCCCAAGTTAAACTTCTGCCATATAGTCACCTTATCCTATACCAGCACTTGGTTAAATCTTCAGTGCCTTTTAGAAGGCTAGGAGGATAGAGGTCTACTATACCTCAGAGGGAAGAGGGTTCTGGAGGGGCAAGGGAAAAGGCACATTTCCTATAAGGTGACAGTGTATAAAGAAAGACACCAAAAGTATTCCTAGCCTATCTACTCAGATAGAACAGTCCTTATGGAAAGGTTGTTCTTGCAAATAGATAAATGATAGAGATGATAGATTAGATAGGAAGGTAGGTAGGTAGGTAGGTAGGTAGGTAGGTAGGTAGATAGATAGATAGATAGATAGATAGATAGATAGATAGATAGATATGGAGGGAGAGAGGGAGACATAGATAGATAGATTGGATAGAGGGATGGATGGATGGACACAGACTGATTTTCTAGTGACAGAAATGTAATCTACCTGAAAAGCAAAATAAATAAATAAAAATTTTAAATACTTTATTGTTGTTGTTAATGTAGCCATATTTAACTTTATCTTATATATAGAATTAAAAGGTTACAGGATTTGTTCTATTTAAAAGTAGAAAAACCATGAAATTATTTTGTACACAGTGCAGAAAACCACCGCATTGGTGTATAGGTATCTTATTGTGCTTCCAATAATTAAATCTCCAAATTTTCCACTTATCTTGAACACTCAAAAGACCGCACATTTATTGTGTGTACCATTCAGAGACCTTACTCTCCAGATATATTTCAAAAGTCATGTATAATCTGTAGTATTTTGATATATAAACTTGATTATTTGTTGAATTCATAAAATGTCTAAGAAATATTACTGCATTACAAACGTTAAAGCCCTTTCAGTTATTATGTATATGTGTAATTCCAGTCTAGTTGCTTTCCAACACAGCTGTTGCAATCCAATTCACTTCAATTTTACCTTCTAAAACATCTGTATGTCATTTACTCCAAGAATTTCCTAGGCACAGTGTCAAATTTAATCTTTCCTTCACCCAGTCCAGTTGCCTGGTGAGCTATTTCAATATCTGTTCCTTTTGAAATCGATGCTGTTAAAATTAATCCCTTGAAGCTCCATTGTGCTTGTACTGATTGCCTTGCTTTGAGTTCTTCTTGCTTTGTTTTCAGAAGTCATAATAGACTGAGAACCCTGACCGAAAGGATTTCTGTGTGCTTATTGTTGTTTGGTCTCTTCGTAAGGAGGCACTGGCTCCTGAAATTGCTGAACATGGTCCTCTTCTATGGACGCCTTCATGGTGGCCTCCTCATATGACGGAGGCAGGCATACAGCAAAAAAGGCAGTTTCAGGCAGGAGAGTGGAGTATTGGAACCTCTGCTCATTGTTCCAGGGCAGCACAGAGAGAAAATCTGTCACCTCGTGCTCTGGAAGGGACTCTGGCAAGTCAATGCTGAAGATCTGAGCCTGAGGATTGCGACGTTGGCAACGTCTGTAGAGGAAGAGCAACAGGAATGCCAGGAAGAGCATCACGGTAGCTGGTAATATGATGCATAGGAATGGCTCTATGTCTTCTTTGGTTGAACTTGCTTTATGCTGACTCTAAGAGAAACCAAGACAAGAATATGTATCAGGCCTTTGCCAATTTCTTTTTATGTGCATCCTGCCTTTCATAAAAACACCATCTCAATGCAGATAAAAAGCAGTATCCAAAAAGCCCAAACCCATTGAAATAAGCAAATCAATAAAGCATAAACATAGATCTCACAGAAAGTGCTGGTTTCAGAGTGTGCACAACAGAGCAATTATACTGCCCAATCAGTCCTCCAAGCAGGTTCTCACTTGCACTTAGAAAATGCCTCCACCTAAGGGCTAATCCATCTCTCCTTCAAGCCTCGGAGACATAAATTGGCATTTTCTACTGTCCCCTATCACTCAGGAAAACCTTACTATGGAAGTTCAGAGGCTGTTTGAAAATAGCAAATGCAAAGACTCTAGTTCCAAAGGTGCTTTTTTCAAGAGGCAACTGGACTTTCTGGTTTTTCTTTGAAGACATTTCACTTCTCATCCAAGAAGCTTCTTCAGCTCTGACTGGATGGTGGGTCAGAGCTGAAGAAGTTTCTATGATGAGAAGCGAAACGTCTTCAAAGAAAAACCAGAAAGTCCAGTTGCCTCTTGAAAAAAGCACCTTTGAGACAACCATGACCTGAATGACTGAAAATCTCCATAGACCAAGACTCCATAGCCTCCTTTTCTATGCCAATAATTGCTTCCATCAAAACCCAAAATCATTGATTATATCTAATTTCTCCTGCCAATAGGAACAATTCTTGACAGGAGTTTTTTTAATTACATCTCAGAAAATGGGAGGTTAGAGGGGAACTATCCTACAGCATCCCCTCTTATCCCAATTTAGAGCATCCTTGAACACCTAGAGTAGCATTTGTAGAATTTGAGGTGTTAAAATGCGCTCTTTGCCCTTATCCCACTGGAAAAGCACCACTGAAACAGAAAGTTTCCCCAGATGGAACGCAATAAAGATCCCAGATCAGTATGTTTATCTCTCTTATATTGTCTCTACTGCTATCAGATAGCAACTGTATCTCTAAGTTTCCCTCTATAGCTATCAGAGGGCTGATTTAGCAACTCAGTGACTGGGATTTTTTAAAACCTGATGTCTTTGTATGTTCCCTTTCCCAAAGGAAGTATAGTGTACTTTTGGCAAACTACTCTTCCCCAGTATGATTTCACAACTGACACTTCCCAAATCTATTTAAAATTATGACTGAATCATATAAACATATTATCTTGCAACTTAATTTATCCTCATCCATGCACTTATCTCATCATGCTAGAAGTAACTATAACCTAGGGTTTCCCCCTTATTCTAAATTTTTCTTCCCCCATTTAAGTACTCTCTTAAACTTTGATAAAGATAAATAGATTTTAAAAAACTCAGACAGGACAGATGATGAATAAGCAGCTACTAGTTTTGCTGCCAAATAAATCACAGTTTTTGCTATTTATCCAATGTGATTTTGATAGAGTGCTTAAATTACTTTAAGAGACACCCTTTGGTACTCATTTCTTTTAAATTTATCTACCTGTGCCACTTTAAGAAATTTATGCTAATAACCAAAGGATTTTTTTTTGGTTAAATGATAATTTAAGTGGGATAAAAATATTTGTTTATGTAAGGCATACATGGAAATGGGAACCTTTCTAGGCAGAATTGTGGAACTTAATTAAATGGAATAGGACACCATATTTTTGAGAATACAAGCTGACACCTATTTTATTGTTATATTTTGTGTTGTCAAAACCATCTAACAATTAAAAAAGGAATAGTGAATTGCCTTAATAGATTTGTCAAGGATGTATATATTATTCTTATTTTTCATCTTGTTTTTGTTAAATTATTATCATTCTTCATACATACATACATACCTAGATTTAATCTTATTTCAAACAATTGCAGAAAACAGGGCCCATGTTTTCCTTCTTACTTTACTTGTAGTAAAACATAGGAATGATTATAAACAATGTATGTAAGCATATCACTTTCATGATAAAATCATGCCAGATAGCAAATAATGATTTATATTTATAGACATTGGGGCAAATGACAACACAAACTCAGTCTATTTTACACTTGCATTAAAACATTGGGCATCCACAAGCCCGCTTGGAGTTTGCAAAAAAGCACCTGGAGGACCCTCAGACTGTGAGGAAAAAACTCTAAGCAGGCTTTCGTGTGTTTTACACTGAGGAGAGGCTTCTGTCTAGCCACTCTGCCATGAAGTCCAGATTGGTAGAGGGCTGCAGTGATGGTTATCCTTCTGGAACTCTGTCCCATCTCCACACAGAATTTCTGGAGCTCAGTCAGAGTGACCATTGGGTTGTTGGTCATCTCTCTTACTAAGGTCCTTCTCCCCCAATTGCTCAGTTTGATCAAGCGACCAGCTCTTGGAAGAATCCTGGTTGCCTCAAATGTCTTCCATTTGAGAATTATGGAGGCCACTATGCTCTTAGGTACCTTCAGTGCAGCAGAAATTTTATTGTAGCTTTCCCCAGATCTGTGCCTTGCAATAATCCTGTCTCTGATCTTTGCAGGCAGTTTCTTTGACCTCAAGGCTTTTGCTACAGTATGCATTGTCAGCTGCGACACCTTCTAGAGAGGAGTATGTGTACCTTTCCAAATCATGTTCAATCAATTTAATTTACCACAGGTGGACTCCATTCAAGGTATAGAAACATGTCAGCAACGATCAAGAGAAATGGCAGGCACCAGAACTAAATTTCACATGTTGTTGCAAAGGGTCCGAGTACTTATGTCAATGTGTTATTTCAGTTTTTTCTTTTTAATAAATTTACAGATATTTCTAAAATTCTGTTTTCACTTTGTCATTATGGGATACTGAATGTAGATTAAAACAGGGGTGAAATCTAAAATTTGTTACTACCAGTTCTGTGGGCGTGGCTTGGTGGTGGTGGGAGTAATGTGACTGGGTGGGCGTGGCCAACTTTTTTTTAATTACTTTTAAAAGCATTTTTTTCTACAACTTCTTCGGCCAAAGAGGTTGCAGAAAAAAAATGCTTTTAGAAGCCTCTGACGATCAGACAACTCAGCTGGGATCGACAGAGGCTTTTAAAGGCATTTTTTTCCCTACAACATCTTTGGCCGAAGAGGTTGCAGAAAAAAATACTTTTAGAAGCCTCTGACGATCAGGCAATTCAGCTGGGATCGTCAGATCTACGATCCCAGCTGAACTGCATGATCATCAGAGGCTTTTTTTTTACTTTTAAAAGCATTTTTTTGGCCGAAGAGGTTGTAGAAAAAATGCTTTTAAAAGTAAAAAAACAGCCTCTGATGATCGCATGGCTCATCTGGGAATGGGGGGGAGGGGGTGCAGGGATTTTTCTACCAGTTCTCTGAACCACCCGCCGCCATCGCTACCGGATTGGGCGATCTGGTCCGAACCAGGAGCATTTCACCCCTGGATTAAAGACAAAAAAAATGAATTTCAACCACTACAGAATCAGGCTACAGCATAACTAAATTGACAACAGTGAAGGGGGTCTGAATACTTCCAGAATGCACTGTAAATGGAGAAATTGTCACTAGGAAGGAAAGGGGAAATTAAAAATTTATATTGTTCTTTAATTGTATACTCAATACATATTTAATGGTATATAATATGGTAGAAAGGATTATGGTGAATATCAAATATTGCAGTGTTACCATTAAAATAAATACTTTGTGAAAAGAAAGTAAACTGCAAACCTTTTATATTTGATTCTATTTTACTACCACTTTAAGCCTAATGGTATAAGATAAATAGGATGTATTCCAAATTATACTTAAGTGTATCTGGTTTTTATATCTCATGAGGGAATGGATAGGTTAATCAATATTTCCAAATGCAATAGCAATGATATCATTTGTTGCAGATTTTTAGTATGAATCATCGGTTGACTTTAAGTATTCTGTGCTTTGAACACAATACAAAATATACATTGTAGATAGCTTGCCTATTTAAAACATTGACATTATTTTGGAGTTTTTACAGTATCTGAAGCCTTGAAGGCAGTTTGAAATAATTATTATACTATAGAGTGCATACTTTTATTCTGTTTGAATACTTTGCTAAACTAATTTTGCAAAGTATCTGTCTTTTGCAAAATATCTGTACTGGTTTAATCAATCTGCAAAAGCACATATCTTCCAAATACATTATGTTAAAGTTTTTGCTTAATTTGCCCTGAATTTTCTTGTATGTAACAAACATTACCATTTTACAGTGCTCTTTATTTACACCTGATCATACTGCCTGGCTTATATATTTTGGTTGAGAAAACATAGAAAAAGAATCAGACATGACTAATACTATTTTTTCAAAAATATGTAGAATTGCTGCATTCATTAATAAATAGGCACAAGAAAAACCTGTTGATTTATACAATGTTTTAACATTTTCCTAACTAGGATTTCAAAATAAATCAATGAGAACAATACACATTTATAGCCAAATTTACACATTCATCACTGCAGAGCAGGGTTTAACATAATAACAAAATTACTGAGTTGGAAGGGATCTTGGAAGTCTTCTAGTCCAACCCCTTGCTGAAGGAGGAGACCCTACACCATTTCATACAAATGGTTATCCAATATCTTCTTAATAAGCTCCAGTGATGGAGCACCCACAACTTCTGAAGGCAAGTAATTCCACTAGTTAATTGTTCTCACTGTTGAAAATTTCTCCTTAGTTCTAGGCTGCTTCTCTCTTCAGTGTTTTCCTATGCACTCTTATGAACATATGACTGTACTTTTGAATTTTAAACAAAGGCAGAGAAAAAGCAAAAAAAATGTGGTTGATTACTGTGAGTGGAGTTTGGCTCATTGTGGTAATGATACATAAATTATAAGCTATTTCAATCATGAAGAGAAAAAAAATTACCTACACGGTATATTTAAATATACTGTGTGTAGATATGAATCACCATATTCAGATTCAAAACATATTGACTAGCATCAAGTAGTGCTGTGAAGATGTAAATGAGTAATCACAGATTTTCCATCACAGACCAAAGTCATTCAGTATTAACTTCAACACTATTTTTTTTAGTATAGTAATAGTTCAGACATTCAGATGAATGAAATCATATTTTAGGCATAGTCAAACAAAGAAAAAATATGCATTGTGAACAATTCTATGAAATCATGCAAATGTGAAGGATCACATTTATGCTTATGGTAGTTGACATCAACATAAAAAACACCATTGCAATCATTTACTGTCCATATTACTACGATTACTCTTCTGGTCTTATCACAGTAAGTTATTCTGTCTAACTAGGAGACCTAGAAATATTTAGAAGGAATAAGTTCCATTCAATATTCTACTAAATTCAGTGGGACTTACTTCAGCATAGACATGCAGAGAATTACATTACTAGCCTGTTATTAGTTTTATTTTTGACACAGTTCAGCTAGGCTCTTACTTAAAAAACCAGACTAAATTACTTTACAGGTTACTGTAAACAATACTGAGAAAAATAATTCCACATGGCCCTCAAAATCTCTTTTAGGTTGTCTTGTCAGAGTAGCCTTTCTGATCTATCTCTCACGCTTTCCCCTTTTGTCACTCACAACACTATGAAAAGTAATATAATCTAGGAAACAAAATTTGCTGAATATCACTTATTCTAATATCAGTAAAAGGGTCTGCAGAGAGAAAGATTGAAAATGAAATAGGTTTGAAATGAAACGACAGATTCAAAAGCAGCCAAAATATGCATTTGAAGTTAAGATAAGTTTTGAAGTAAATATTTACATCAGTTTCTGTAAACTTTTTTTCCACCTCAGTCAGTGAAACAAAGGAACAATTGCATGGAGGACAGTGTGCAATTTATGTAAAATAAAGTACTTGCCTCCATGTCTATATCACAAACCCTTTGTCATCCTGAAACGAGAAATCTCGAAAGAACAGAAATAAATTGCAAGGGATATAGATGATACAAACCTGTAGCTCTGTTTCCACCAATGGCACACCTTGTTCACTGGTTAACCAGTCATAATTTCCCCTGTCGGCATGTCCAAATTTCTTCCAGCTACCACTATCCAGAAGCCAACGCATACTTTCATGGACGTGTGGGTTTGTTCCTCGTTCTTCCTCTTCAGTTGTGGTCTTCTTTTGGATTATTTTTAATATTGTCACCTCCCTCTTCCCTCCCCCCTCCCCCTGATACAAGGCCTAGCTTGGAATGCCTAAGGTGAAAACCATGCTGATAGTCTCTCCTGATCCTGGCAGTGAAGAAGGAAAGGATAGAGCAGTGACCAAACGAATCTTGGATGCTATTTTGTCTTCTAACTCAATCTCTCTGGATTTGCTTCAGTGGCCTACATTACCAGGGAAGCTGGCATCAGGTATCAGGGAAGAGATAGCCTTCTGATTGGATGGTTGCCTGCATTAGGATTATTAAAGGGGTATTTCCATGACAATCTGAGTGCACATGGTCCTAGCTCTGTGGATAAATCATTGTCTACATTTATAGTCCATATACACATAATTTATATATAAATATATATGCATAATGTGTTTGTGGAGAGGAAGGGAGCCCTAATGCTATAGAGAGTTAACAAAATGCTTACTTCTCCCTAAGGGTTAAGGAAATATTTCCACTTGGATGCAATGTAAATAGCAAAAGCAGTTGCTGTTAGGCAGGCAAGGGCATAGCTGAAAGCTGTTCTGAATTATTTAGAGGTATTAGGATGTAGATGTTAATGATAAATCCGAAAAGAGGCTGCTGCTAGAAAAGGCTTTAGTCACTGAGAATATACGATTGCTTTCAATGACACATCTAACGGGCTTAATTCTGCTCTTTAATCTTCCCTGGCTTTTTTTTTAACAGATAAGTATCATTATGTTTCAATCATTTAATTTAATTATTCAAAGCAAAAAAAGACTCCAAATGGTTTCTATACTCAAGACTTGTATTGATAAAGAGTACTAAGATGTCAGCATGATCACTTGGTGGTTCTTATCTTTCTTTTAGTTCCCCTTTGGCTATATTCTGATCTTAACGTTGTTTGGGAAACATCTGATAAAATTGTTTAACAATGACATAATGCTCTATTCGTCATTAACACGCAGAAAGAAAGCAAAGGAAATCATCTAGTCCCATTGGTATCCATGCAAGGAATTCAAATGTAAAATTGCTAAGTGTCAAAGATATGTGACATAGTACAAGTAGTCCTCAATTTACGACAACAATTGGAACCAGAATTTCCATTGCTAAGCAAGGCCAATTTATTTGCCTTGGCTGTTAAGCAAATAACAATAGTTGTTAAGTGAATCATATGATCATTAAATGAGTTCAGCTTCTCCCATTGACTTTGATTGTTGGAAGCCAGCTGGGAAAATTGCATATGATGACCACATGACTCCAGAATGCTGCAACCATCATAAATACATGCTGGTTGCCAAGCAACTGAGTTTTGATCACATGACCCTGGTTGTCAGTGTGAACACCAGTTGTAAATCACTTTTTTCAGTACCATTGTAACTTCAAACAGTCACTAAACAAATGGTCGCAAGTCAAGGACTACCTTTATATATGATATCTACCATATAACTAAAATTAATGCCTGAACCATGAAGACCAGAAATGGCCAGCAAAAAGAGGAAGCAGGAATACACATCTTGGGAGACCTGAGAAATTACAAATATCACCTGTTCTAGGTAATCTGGTGGGAAATGTTGGAAGCAGTGGGTCTCCTGCTGGAGCAGAGGGTTGGACTAGAAGACTACCACAGTCCCTTCTGATTGATTGATTGATTGGTTGGTTGGTTGATTGATTGATTGACTGACTGATTGACAGTCATACAGCAATAACTTTTTTTTTCTGGAAATGGATATTGGTTTATCTTTTGAAAAATGTTTATCCAGCCTCAGCAAACTTGGAATTGTTTGAGAATACTAACAAGAATGGGGATGGTATATATATTGTTTACAATATATATGGTGGGTGGGCTCTTCACCATGATATTCTCCAACTCTGACTCAATAGCTTGATATTGGCATGTGATGTGATTGTCTTAACTTAACCTTGAAATAGTAAAGGAGAATGCAAAGAAACAATTCAGGGGCCCTGTCCCAAGGTACAAATGGTCCTAGAGCAATAGCCACCACCACTGCCGATCTACCCAAAAGGGAAAAAAAATATTTTTTTTTTGCACCAATTCATTGCATGTCATGAGAGGGAAACTGGAAATATGCCAAGCCATATTTTCTCTTAAAAGACCTCTGAAATAGTAGCTTGTGGTTGAAACCAGGATCAGGAAGATTAGACTTCCCACAAATGGAAGAATTAACTATCTACATATTTAAAAATTTGCAAAAGAAAGGTTCAATTTCAGTTTCAGATAATAAAGTGGAGCAAAACTGAAAAAGGACAGCTTTTTTGTTGCAGAACCAGCATTACAGATGGTGGCAAAGATTCTGTGAGGTCTCTTTTAAGATTTTTCAATAAATCATTTTGTCACCAAAGATTTCCGGCCAAGCTGATAAGAGACATGTATACTTAGGATTGGCGAATGGTTAAAGAAATAGGCAATAAGAATGAATTATTAGTTCTCCCAAAGGAATTATCTCAATAAACATAATATCATCATTAATTATTATGGATCATTCTAATCTCATGGTCTACTAAAGATGATGTGTGCATTTTTATAAATTAGACTTCATACATTTTTTTTCTTTTGATTTTATTTTTTAATAATAAAATCAAAACCAGATTTTTATTTATCTCTTATGAGATTGATTTCATTCCCAGTGGGGAAGGGGAAAACTGAAACCACTGATTATAAACCTACATGCAACAAAGCCAGAGGTTGTATCTTAGACATTATTTTTATATTCTGTTTGCCAAAAGGACAGTACAGACTCTTGTAATTTAATCTCTTTTAAAAAGCGGGGTTAGGGAAGGATGCCTAGTGAGATGCTCCCTGGGAGATAAGTTGTGGGAGCAATACAGATAGTCCTCGACTTACAACCACAATTGAGCCAAATTTTTCTTTTGTTAAGCAAGAGAATTGTTCAATGAGTTTTGCCCCATTTTATGCCCACAATTGTTAAGTAAATCACTACAGTTGTTCAGTGGAGCTGGCTTCTCCATTCACTTTGCTTGTCAGAAGGTCACAAAAGGGGATCACATGACTCCAGGACACTGCAACCATCATAAATATGAACCAGCTGTCAAACACCTGAATTGTGACCAAGAGGATGCCGCAATGGTTGCAGCATCCTCTTGGTGTGAAAACGGTCATAAATCACTATTTTCAGTGCCATCGTAACTTTGAACAGTCAAAGTTACACAACAGTCACTAAATGAATGATTGTAAGTTGAGGACTACCTGTAACTCAGGGGTGAAATCTAAAATTTGTTACTACCAGTTCTGTGGGCGTGGCTTGGTATGGGGGTAATGTGACTGGGTGGGCATGGCCAACTTTTTTTTTTTTTACTTTTAAAAGCATTTTTTCTACAACCTTAAGAAGTTGCAGAAAAAAAATGCTTTTAGGAGCCTCTGACGATCAGCAAGTCAGCTGGGATCGCCAGAGGCTTTTAAAGGCGTTTTTTTTCCCTACAACCTCTTCGGCCGAAGGGGTTGCAGAAAAAAATGCTTTGAAAAGTAAAAAAAAACAGCCTCTGATGATCACGTGGCTCAGCTGGGCATGGGGGGAGGCAAGGGATTTTTGCTACCAGTTCTCCGAACCACCCGCCGCCATCATTACCGGATCAGGCGATCCAGTCCGAACCGGGAGCATTTCACCCCTGCTGTAACTACAAAGTAGCATACCAGAATGTAAGGCAGGTCCAGGGTATGTCAACCCAGTAGGTCTGGGGGGAAAATATGTCTGTGTTACCCCATGTAGATGAAGATTTTATGGAATATAAAACATCCAATCATTCTTTCAGGTAAACTCTACACCTGGTTGATGATGACAAGAATTTCAGTAATTATCAATAGTCACAAGCTGCTAACATCACAGGATCCTTTTGTCAGCATAAATAAATGCTGACTTCCAAGCACTTTATCCAATTGCAAAGATGTTTCCTTTTTGTCCCAAATGTGCTAGTTTGCTTTTGTTCCCAGGTTGAATACATTTGGTTAATACCTGCCATTGGTCTAATCTCTTTAGGTTTGTTTCTAATTATTTTACTATGTTTCACTATGTGTACAAGTCTCCCTCTGGGCCTCTATTATGCATGAATTATGTTAGTAAAGCTTTTTAGGTGTTTTTAATGGCAATAATTCATAAAACAGAATGTAACCTTATCCTTATATGACCTCAATATGAACCCTGTTTTACAAAGGGATGGTTTTTGTTTTTTGCAGACATGCTATCCTTTCTATTGTGAAATAGAATAGTAAAGGATATTCATATTCACATTAATTTTCCTCACAACAGAATCTCCTATTTGATTTATCAAATACTTTAATCATGTCCAACTATAATTATCAACTTTTTTTAAAAAAAAAACCATTTCTTTTATACAGACATTTTGGAATCCATATCTCTAGAATCATCAGTAGGACTTTATCACGATGGCTCTGGTATATTGTTAAAAAGATCAACAAAACAATGGAACAAGCAGAGGTGGCTAAATTGATTAAAGAAACAATAATATCTGGGCTGGAAACCCCTTATTGACTTTTCCCATGAAACAGAAAAAAATTGTGCTTATGATTTGGGACTTTCTTAGAAAAAAATGTATAATAGAAAAAAGTAAAGGTTTTTGTAATCATAAAGTAATTCTGTAATTGCACTTATTTGCTGCAGATGTTTTAAGTGGGCAATTCAACTAGATATGTGTTTTTCTGTGCATAAGATATACTTTCCTTTCAGTGGTGAAATCTAAAATTTGTTACTACTGGTTCTGTGGGTGTGGCTTGGTGGTGGTGGGGTTAATGTGACTGGGTGGGCATGGCCATTTTTTAAAAAAGCCTCTGCCGATCAGGCAACTCAGCTGGGATTGTCAGAGGCTTTTAAAAGAAAAAAAGCCTCTGCCAAAAAGGCAATTCAGCTTGGATCGCCAGAGGCATTTAAAAGAAAAAAACCCGCCTCTGCTGATCAGGC